ACCCAGTTTAACCCTCTCCAGGACAAATCTGTTTGTTTTCCTAGCAGTCCATGGTATTCTCAATACTCTTCTCCAGCACCACAGCTCAAAGGCATCTATTCTCCTTCTATCCTCCTTGGTCAAACAACATAGTATGGTCAAAACTTGGGACAAGAAAATTTATTATTATAATGAAAAATCTTGGTCATCATGGATTCCAGCTCATGGTAAGCCCAAGCGTATGAGTAAAACTGTTTCATAGACTTTTCTAGGACGGGGTTTTCCTTACCCCCAGGAGTGGATTCCCAGACCTTTCTGAAATGCTTGTTGGGAACCCCAATCTCCAAACTTTCAGTTAGCATCCGAATGTTGAGCTGTGCCACCAGGCACTCTATTAATATTACTATTTATGAGTTTTTAGGCTCATAAGTATTATAAAGACCAGCTTTGTTGTTCCTTATTTGTCATTAGCAGAAAATGGCAGCTGAATCCCAGGACAGTAGGAAATGCCACCTGTCTGTTCTATTGTCTGGGTCCTCTCCAGAGCTGCGGAGGCCCTGACAAATCTAAGTTCTCTCTGCTTCTGAGGAGGGTTGCTGGATTTGGATCAGCTGAACTTAGGTATGGTATTAGTATTCCCAGTCGTAGCCCAATGTGATAAGTTAAAGCTGTTAAGAAATGAGAGAACTGGTAGGTAGTAATTGTTGCTAGCTGCTGTTGGTTTACACTAAGTTTATGCATTTTGCATGTTTTCACTCATTAGAACCAATGTGACAGAGTAGAACTGTCTTATATAGTTTTAATTTTATTTATTATTATTATGACTTTTTTTTTGTCCAGGATGGCTTTATTAAAGTCCTATGCTGTAGAAAGTCATTCAAGTGATGAGAAAAACATTAACATGAAACAAGCACTTAATCTGGTATTCCCTAAAATACCATTTATTATTTTAAGGTTGAGTAAAAGTTTACAAACCATATTGGTTTTGCATTCAATAGTTCATAAACTTTTTGCTATATGCCATTAATTATAATTGATTAATAGAGTTAATTTATTATAATGTCTAACCAAACCCTTATATGTTGCCATTCTCTCCACTCAAGTTATGTATTTATTTATTTTTACTCTTTTCTCCCTTCCTTCTCATCACTGTGAACCCGAAAGATTGATTCTACCTGAATGTAAACCTTTCCTTAGCTTTTTTTCATCACAGTGGTTTTGTACTATAACTATCCTTTTAAAAAATAATTTTATTTGAGTTAAAGTTTATAAATCACACCCATATATAGTTTTCATAGCTGTAAGGAAGGAAATAGAATTCTTAAGAAAGTAGAACGCCTGCACACCTATGTTTATCATGGCTTTGTTTGCAGTAGTAAAGAGCTGAAAACAACCCAAGTGCCCATCAACAAATGAATAGATAGAGAAGCTCTGGCATATTCACAGAATGGAATCCTATGCAGCATTAAAAAACAAGGAACTCATGAAATATTATGCAAAATGGATGACCCTGGAGGACATTATGCTGAATGAAATATCTTAGTCACAAAAGAACAAATATTGCATAGGGCCAATGTGGTAAAAAGGAACTGCCATCAGGGTTGAGGAAAGACAGAAAAGGAGGGGAGGAATGATGTATATTGCATTGAAACAGATGAGAGAGAGAACTGTTTAAAAGGGACATATGAGTGGGTATTCTTGTCATTACAGAAGTCCAGAGTGAAGGCTGCATAGTGGAGTGGACTTGGGGAGAAGGATTGCATAACAATGAGAGAGGTTTTCTTTTCAAGGAGAAGAGTGAATTGGGGGAGCAGGGGTGGGTAGGGAGAAAAGTGCAACGATGAATTGATTGGAAACTTTAAGTCGCTGTAAACTTTCATTAAAATTAATCACAAAAAAAAGAAAGAAAATAGAATGCCACCAGGTCTTTCTACTCTGGGTTAAAACCTTGTGAGTTGAAATTACCAACCTTTAGGTTAACAACCAAGTGCTTAACCATTGCACTACCAGGGCTCTTTTGATGGGTAATTAGACTCTGCTTAAGTAATAGCAGTGAAGGAGCAAAATCAGGGGACAGCATATTTGTAAGGTAGTTTGTCTTTGGCTTGAGGTTGCAAATACTCAGAGCGCCTTTCCTCCCTTTATTTGTCTTGTTCTAGTGTCCTTTGGTAGAATTGTGAGTTCCTGAAGAGCAAGTGAGCCGTGAATTACTGACTGACTGCCAAACAAATAGGCATTAATTAGCACACGCTTTGGTCATCGCTCTCAAAGCAGTTTACTTACTTACGTTTGGGGAATGTTGGAATGCCTTTTCTTCATACTGTTTATTAACTAAACAATTTTTCTATGTTAGTTTGCTTACAAAGTTTGTATACAATGTATTCCACATTGTGTTTCATACAATCATTCCAATGCATTGTGGTTGTTTGTTATGTGCTGTCGAACATGTAGCGACCCTATATGTAACAGCTCTGAACCCTGCTCTATCCTGTGCCCACCTTAATGTCTCTGACACACCTGCTCCCATTACCCTAGTCACTGTATCAATCCATTTAATCAATGGTCTTCCTCGTTTGCACTGTTCCTCCACCCTCCCAAGCATAATGTCTGTATCCAAGGACTGGTCTCTCCTTGCAACATGCCCAAAGTATGTCAGATGAAGCTTCAGAATCCTTGCCTCCAAGGAGCCCCCCGGTTTAACCCTCTCCAGGACGAATCTGTTTGTTTTCGTAGCAGTACATGGTACCCTCAATACTCTTGGCTATATTTTATAAAATAAATCACTATTGGACATTGCCCATTATCATTGCTGTTGTTGTTTTAAGTGCTGTCAAGTTGTAGACAATTCATAGCGACCTATGAATGAAAGACCTGAACATTTGTATAACTCTCATCTTTTCTCCAGGTTCATAGGGTTTCTGGGGGCAAGCTATTTAGGAGGCAAGCTTGTTTTAATTGGGGAGCTCCACCGAACACTGTCCACCATGGGTAACCATTATCACATTTGACACATCAGTGTTATAGTGCTCAGTTTTACAGCAACCACGAGTTACCTCTGCACGGCAAGTGGATAGACCTACTATTTGATGGCACTTAACAGCAACAGCATAGAGTTGGCCTAGTGGACAGAAAGTGATGCTACCAAGCCAAAGATAGGTGACTCTAATCTGCAGCCCTCTGGCAGTTTTTAATTGTTTTTGGTCAAACATTCTACTAGGTCATATAGCCCAGGTCTGCCCACTTGCTTGCCCATCATTACCCTATTTATTAATTTTTACTGAATTCTTAAAAAATTTGTTTCCTGAAAGTCTGGTCTCCAGAGGTGTGCAGTGATCCTCATCTGTCCAATGTGGTAACTACTTTGAGGTAGACTGAAATGTCCCTACATTCCTGACTATAACAATGTAAGAAGCTGCTGACAGAGGCTATGCCTCTCTGGCAGATCAAACTCACAGCCATTCCATGGGAGAAAGACAGACAGTCCCGTCCCATTGAATTCACAATCTTGGAAACCCACTGGAGTGTCAACTGTAAGTCAGTTCTGATTCAACACCAATGAGAGAAAGAGATATGTGGACATTTACAATTAAGTTTATGCCGCTGGCAAAATTGAAGGCTATCCAAAAAGCTTTTAAAGAGTCAATGAATTCTATCAACTTCTGTTTCTTCTTTTTTGAGGATGATGTATCGAAAACAAGGGATCAAGTATGCTAAGCTTGAGTACTTTTCTTTGTTTTTAAGTATAACTCCTTAAGGTGTAGAAAGTGAAGGAGAAGCGAGCTGATATTTATCTGGTTATTTTAATTAGCACAAATTTCAAACTCAGCTTAAAGCCAGATTTTGGACATTTGGTTTGGCCATTTCCCTGGCTTCTATTGTGTGAGACCTCATTTGTGTGAGGCAGGACACAGCTGTGCTGAGGAAATCCCGTTTCTTGTAACTCTTTTCACATTTTTTAATCCACATCTGGTCACAGATCTAGCTTGTTCTCAGTGGAGTTAAAAAGGCTTCAATATTGTTTGATTCTCAGAAAGGGCCTTTTGTTTTAACGGAACCCATGTTTCTTAGTCATGAGTCCACAAACACGCAGCAGTTGTCTGAAACACTTAATTGTACTTAAGATTTAGAGGAAAATCAAGCCCAAACAAGATACCGTGTATGCCATATGGATTAGCATTCTAAAGTTTAAATGAACATTTAAGATTATAGCTTTCCCTACTTTCTGGAAAGTTAAGGTGGGGCATATCTGACTCTAGTGTATTCTGCCCCCACCGCTTTCTTTGCACACTTGAGGCTCTTGAGAATCAAGAGGAACTTTCTGGAGCACTAGGTGCTGCTCACTTTAAAGAAGGCTTACAGCACCACAGAAGTCCCTGGGTGGGGGTGGGGGGTTAACTTGCTGGAGTGCAAACAGAAAGGCTGAACGTTCATCCACAGGCACCTTGGAAGACAGGCCTGGTTATCTTCCGGGAAATCAGCCATTAAAACCCCTTGGAGTACAGTCCTCCTGTGACACACAGGGATTGCCAGAACCTGGCATCAACTTGACGGCAGTTGGCTTGGTACAGTTCCAGACTTTCTAGAGGCCCAGAGAAGGGCGAATTGTTCTATTGCTCCCTCAGATTTCAGGGTCTGGCTCTAGTTTGGCTGTAGAGAGTAAGTTGAGCAGACAATTCAAATAGGCAGTTGGACAGGCGATGAGGTGGGTCTTGGGAGACGGGGAGTTAGAGAGTAATAAAAGAGTTCATAAATGGCAATTGGAAGATCTGTGACTTTATAATCTGACCACTGGCATTTTGGGACCTTTTGCAAACTCACTTTTGTCATTCTTTCCTCATCTTTAAAATGAGAGGTCTAATTTATACTGAGGATTTTAAATTGGGATCTGAGGGGCTCAGGGACAGAGAGACGGGGAGGGATGGTGAAAAGTCTTCCATTGCCCTCAAACAGCAGTTTATGTTAAGATTTGTTTGAGGAGAGTAGTGCTAAAGCTGAAGCCTGAAACCCAGCAGGTTCAATGATGTTTGGTGTGAAGATTAGGGGAAAGGTCTTCTACTCCCTCAAACTATGCACTCTACTACCCCCTCTCTTTCCCCCTCCCTCTGGCACACGAGGTTTAAATACATCTAAGCTCTTTCTTCAATTTTAAAGAATGACATTCAGGTGTGCTGTGTGAATTGTTCCAAGTCGAAGCTGTGAAACAATGGGGCTCAGCAAAAATCCATGTAAGAGTCCTTCCCTTATTTGCAGGTGTGACAGAGCCAAGGAAAGACCAGTAAGTCCGGTTGATGCTTGTTAGAGGCCAGAGGCCAGGAAGTAGGACTCCTGGCTGGCAGTGATGTAGCCCTTGTGAATCCCTGTCTTGCTCTCCATTGGGATCTATGAATACACCATGGCCTACAGGTTGGTTTTGATGAAAACTTTCAGCTCATTGCATCTCTTTGTTAGCCCAAGTTAGCGAAAGCCCTTTTACCACCGTATCCTATGACATTCAAGTTCCTCACCTGTGCATTCACTTTCTTACCAGTCATTGGCTGTGTGCTTTTTATATGTATATATAGTGCTAGGAGCTGTAGGGGATGAAGAAAGGAGTAAAATAAAATTTCTTTGATTAAAAATAAGTCATTGGGTGGAGCAAATGGTTGTTCTCATGGAAAGGGTAGAGGTTCAAGTCCCTGCAGTTGGTAGGGGAAAAAAGCTCTGCCATTGAAAACACCATAGGGCCCATTTCCACTCGGAAACACATGCGGTGGCCATGGTTGAAAACTACTCAACATGCTCAACAGTAACGTCTTTCTTTTCTGGTTGGAAAATTTGCTCTGCATTCTGAAAGCGAAGTCTAGAGTGTTTTCTCCTTGATTCTGTGAGTTCTCACTTTGCATGATGTCATTCTTTGTACACAGCAGGCCGTTTGGTTTGGTTGCAGAGAGCAAACAGGAAACAAATCAAATGGCTGGTTGGACAGGTCATGAGGTGGGTCTCGGGGGTAGGGTAGTAAGTAGGACAAGAAAAGAACTGTGAGTTGGAAATTGAGTACCCTACGGCTTTATGATCTGACTAGGAGTGCTTGTCCAGGCAGATTGTCAAGAAACTGGAAGTATTCAAGTATCAGACAATATTTCTTCCCTCTCCATGGGATTGACAGTCCAATTAATGTTCAGTGTCTGTTCTTTCTCTGTATCTTCTCTATGAAAGCGATTCTTTGCATTTATTTTCTTTGGACAATCATTATAGTTTATGAGCAAGAAGCCTGCAGATAGCTTTAAGGTCTTACAAATCAATACCTTATACATCGTGCATGACAGTAAAATTTCATGGTGGGAAATACAATGTTATATGAGAAAAATGGCAAAAGGTGGAACCTACATAAAACTGACAAGTGTAGACGAAGTTCTGAATTTTCAGGCAAAAATACATCCCGTGTAGACATTATTTCATTGATATTTTACTAAGGAAACCAAGAACTCACCATCGCTTGCTTTAGATACCACATAGAGCTCGGAAATTCTAACAGGATAGAGAAGAATTGGATGAAAACACCCTTGAGATTTCATGGCAGGTCCTGAAAAGTGAATATAGTTTAGAATTAGGAAATATAAAATGACGTTTTGTTTTTGTGATGATTTTTCCCCCAATAATATTGTGTTTTCCACAAAAGTTTACACAGCTGATTAAGTTCCCATTTAACATTTTCTGTACTTCTTTTCAATACTCCTGTATTGGCTACATTTTTCACAAATGTGTCATCTTTCTCCTTACTTCCATTCTGATAGTTCAGTTTCCATTAATCTAGTTTCCTGGTCTCCCTTATTTTCTTATCTTTGCTTTAGGATAGATGTTGATCATTTTGGTTTGATTTACTTTTTTAAAGGAGCATAGCATTCATGAGTGATATTATTTATTTCATCTACCAATTTAGTATATGTAGCTAAAAGGTGATTTCCAGGAGCAGTTTCAGTTGAAAGTTTAAAGCATACCTTAGGGTGATAGATAGTCTTAGGAGTTCCTTTGAATTCAACTGGCCCAGTAACCCTGGACTTGTTCAAGAATTTGAATGTTGCTCTACGTATTTCTCTCCTTCTATAGGGACACATCTATTGTGTCCTGATCAGAACGGTTGGTAGTGTGATGGGGCACCATCTGGTTCTTCTGATCTGAAGCAAGGTGAAGTACTAGTTCACACAAGCTATTAGTCCCTTAAATTACTTTCTCCTTTGAGTTTTCAGTTTCCTTCTTTCTCTTTTGCTCCAGACAGATAGAAGCCACAGTTGTATCTTGGGTGTCACTTTCAAGTTCTTAAGACACCAGGTGCTATTTACCAAACTCAGATATAGGACATAATTTTTATCACCTGTATTATGCCAGTCAACTGAGTTATCCCTTGAGACTATGGTCAAACCCAAAAAACAAATCCTGGGAATGTTTGGTTATTTCTAAGACATATACTTCTTAGAAATTTATAAGCACAACATTCATGGTGATTGTTACAAAATCTTGTTGTTACAGCAATTAGCAAAAATGGCTCTTATTCTTGTGTACTTCCTGGTGACAATATATAACTTTGCAAGTTGTGCATTTGCTAAGATATCATAGCAATGAAATTGTGTTACAAAGTATTTAGATAGAAATAATAATAGTAGTAGTAGTAGTAGTTGTTGTTGTTTGTTATGTGCCGTCGAGTCCTTTGCGACTCATACCGACCCTATGCACAACAGCCCTAAATCCTGCTCTATCCTGCGCCAACCGCACTGCCTCTGACACACCCATCCTGATTACCCCAGTCACCGAATCAATCCATCTCATAGAGGGTCTT